GGACCCGGTGCATGAGGGTGGTGAGACTTGGTTGTGCTGCTGCTGGGAGCCCCATGCCAACCACTCTGCCATGGTGAGGCACCCCCTGCCCACCTGGCAGCAGTGGCAGTGCAGAATTGTGTCCTGCACTGCTGCTGGGCAGGCAGCTGATGCCTTGCCATGGTGATCCCAACTAATATGAGGCTTGTGGCACCAAGCCTCCCTGCTCCCATGCAAAAATCTGGGGGTGCATGCCCCCCCATGCCTTCTTCCCCAGGAGTATATGCAGTGTTGGGAGCCAGCCCCTCTGCTGCCCCTTGGATAAGACCCCCATGGCTCCATCCTGCTACCCCAGCTGGGCCCCACATTCCAGTCCAGGGCCCAATGTACCAGCTTGTCTGGGCAGCACTCCCAGCCCTTCCTCCCTTGCTGTTGGGGCGTCAATCTGTCTTCCTCCCCCTTTAATACCCTCATCCTCCCAGTAGCCTTACCTGGAGGAAGCTGCAGGAGTTGCTCTTCTTGCTGCCTGGCTACCATGTGCATGCAGGTGCATGTGGCACCCCCTGCCTAATCACCCTTCCTTTGCTTCCCCCACTTCCCCCCAACCCCTTGCTGGCTGGAACTCTGCAAGCTTGCAGGGAGAGCCTGTCATTTCCTTTTTTTTCCCCCTCCTTTAAAGGAGAAAATCTGATTTGTCTTTGCAACCCCATTTTTTACCATTGCAGCCTCAGTTGGAGTCAAGGTTGGGAGCCACTGGTCTATACACTTAAGCAGATGAAGATCTTGGTTTGCTTGTTAATTTGTTTTAAAGTGGTGAATCACTTTCTTGATTTGTGGCAAGCTGCAATCTAGTAAAGTTTGGATAGAAATTGTGAGGATTTGGCTTAATGTAAAAAAAAAAAAAAAAAATTAATGTTGGTGTGTATAAAAATGCAGTTTTACATTTTAAACCTTGTATTTAAGCAAAGAATTATTAGACCAGGAAGTTCTCTTCGCTGGTTATGCATCTTCTAGCCTTTTAGAACTTAGATTTGCTCTTCTCCCATTACTCTTACTTGGTTGGAGTAAAAAAAGCTTTTCTGGCACTAAGTTTCACAACTGATGTACTGATGATGCTCGTAGAATGCAAGTACTCCATTATAAAGATTTCTAGATACTTAATGCAGCACGTCACTGTCCCTTTATTGATAGAAGTCTGAGGCAGATTTTTTTTCCTAATATCTTAATTGACTAAAAATTCATTAATAATTTGAGGGCTCATTCTGCAGAACATCTGACTAAATTAAGATTATGGTAGGCTAAGATCTGGATGTAACTTGTCATAACTTGAACCTAGACTTCAAAAGGGCTTATTAAAGAAATTGTAACTTAAAGTGTTTGGTTTATATCTAACCTCTGCTTCTCTTGGAAGTCTTGCATTGAGGACCCAAACTCAATATTTTAGTTTGCAGGTACTTGTAATTTACAGGATGACACTCTCTCTGGTTGTCCACAGCCTATCACATGAACAGTTATTAATAAAATACCCAGCAGGCTAAAAACTGTACTTGAATTCATTAATTTAAGTTTGCTGTACCACATAAGTTTGCAATACCACATAGACCAGGGATGGGCAAAACGCGGTTCACCAGGCCATTCTATCCAGCCCGCGGGGCCCCTAAAAAAAATTTAGAAAATTAATATTAATCTGCCCCTGGCTTCCTGCCATGCGGCCCTCGATGGCTTGCCAAAACTCAGTAAGCGGCCCTCTGCCCAAAATAATTGCCTGCCCCGACATAGACTTTAATAGAGAAATCTCCTCATCTTAATAGGAGACTGAACATTTTCTTGCATAAATAGGGACCTACCTAAATCGTGGCAGAAGTGTTCTTTTCATCCTGCAGCCCCCTGCTGCTGATTGGTGGAGGGGCCCTAGCAGTTTCCCATCACTGATCGGCCAAGGGGCCCTGGCAGCTGGTTGTTGCTGATTAGCTGGGAGGCAAAAACTGCAGCATATTTTAAATGATGTTTTTTGCTGCCTAGCCAATCAGCAAGCAGTAGGGGCCACTAGGGCCCCTTGGCCAATTGGGGAGGGGGGGAGGTGCAGTGAAAAAGTCAAGATTTAAAGGAGCTGCTGCACAGTGCACTTCTGCTGCAAATTTAGGTAGGTCCCCATGCATAAGGCTGCATCTTAAATATTAGAGTTTGGCAGTGTACTGCAGGTCTTGATTTGGTAGATGCTAACTTGCTAGAGGAATAAAGCCAATTTGGAAGTCTCTGACCTCACTATCAAGGCAAAGGAATAAAGCTGCCTCAGTTGTTGGGAAGGTTCCTACCAGTATACTTGCTCTGTCATACACTGAGGAACATCTTTGGATTGCTTTGGCTCACTGAGAACTCTCAAATCAAGTGATTTGAAATAAGGATTTACTCAGTTTTGCTCTTCTTTATTTGATTCCACATGGCAACTCTGGGTCTGAACAGAATGGTAACTGGCCCAGTTTAAATGCAGCTTAATGGTACAAAGGTGTTGCAGGACACCATGTAAACTGTCTTTAAATCAGACCAGCTTAAGCTGCTTCCTTGAATTGGCATCAGTTCAACAGACCAACTTTTAAAATTATTTTTTTTAAGTTACTTCTGAGTGAAGATTTATTGCAACAGTAGAAGTTTATGGAGTGCTTGCTCAAGACCACTGCAGCCTTGTCTGGTCTCCAAGTGTTCCCCAAAGACAGTCCTGGTGTTGCCTATAGAGGTGGGGGGAGCCCAGGCTTCTTTCCACTAAGACACTGGACTTTCAGTCCCTCTAACCCTCATTCTCTGGGGCCCTGACCCAAGTTTCTAGCATGTAGTGTTGAGGGACTTTGCCTCTTGTTTGGGAGATTCAGTGCAACCTGAAGTTTCAAGTAGCTAGCAACTAGACAGCTCTGCCTCAATGAAGGCATTTATTGGGACAAATAGTTCAGCAATTCCTCTATCCTCAGTCCAATTCATAAAGCAGAGCATCTCTAAACATTGCACTGCTGTTACCTTCCCAGTCTCTCCAGGCCCTGAGGCCCCCTCTCCTTGTATCTGGCTCCTTGTATCCCCCTTCAGGGACCTAACATGATCTTGCTTACTCAACTCTCTTTTTTTTTTTAACGCTGATTTCATTCAGCTCTTTCTAGCCTTCAGAAGTAAGATTTTTCTATAACATAAATGAATTGCATTTTGTGGTAATACAGCTTTGTTCAGTGGGCACTCCTGCATTTTATACCTGGCTTTACCCTATACAGGTACCCTTATCTGCAGTGGTACTGGTTTAACACTGTACTTAATCCACTACAGTTTTGCCCAAGAGGTTTAAGCCCTACTAATTGCCCTTCACTACTTAACTGTTTTCTTAAATTACATTCTTAAATGAGTTTGAAACTTTCACTGGCACCTAGATAAGTCTTTAAGACTAGATATGGGAAGTCTACAAGCTGAAATTTTGAACCAAATAGTTTTTCAAGGAACCAGCTTCTGTCAGGACTCCAGCATTCCTTCAAGCTGGCAGGACTAGACTGAGCCCTAGAGATCAGTACCAAAGCAAGGAGGAAGTAACATCATTATGAGCGATGGAGTAACCAAATAGTGTATCATGGGGTAGTGACCCCATCGAATGCTTTCAAGAGGCTAATAATGGGGATTGATCATAAACATGGTATTAATTCATATCCTTCATTTGCTTCTACAGTTAAATATGCGAACTTATTTTTTTTTCTTTTTAATTAACTAGAACAATACAGCTGTGCATATGGTTCAGGCAGATTCTTTATGCTGTGTGGCCTTGGTGGAATTATTAGCTGTGGCACAACACATACAGCATTGGTTCCCCTAGACTTGGTTAAATGCAGAATCCAGGTTTGTTCTGCATGTTGCAATGTGGTGAAATTCATAAAGCATGATTAAAGTGTGACACAGTCTACTAACAAGCTGGAGGCATAAATTTATGTAATAGCCGACACTTTCTGAAGCAGTGCATGAGGCTTTTGTATAAGCATGGTGTGTCTTTTTTTTGCTGCAGAAGAATACAGTTGTGAATATGGCTCGCTCAAGTTTTATGCTCTCTGTGGCTTTGGTGGGGTCCTAAGTTGTGGCCTGACACACACTGGAGTCGTACCTCTGGATTTAGTCAAATGCCGTATCCAGGTTTGTAACTTCATCTTCACTTAGTCCAGTATGTCATGAGTTAATAATGGTGTGCTAATTTTAACAACTTCAAGTAGAAGGCAGAAGTGATCACATCTGAATTTACCTCTTTTGGATTAGGTAAACAGTTAATGGATTGATTCAAACTTCCAAGAGAAGCAGATTCCTGAATGATTTGGCAAACTCTGCTTTTGGCTAAAATAAGTCAAGATTGAAACAGTGTTTCATTATACCAGAGTTACTTGTAAACATTAAATCCAGCTGAAATATCCATCTGATGTTAAAGGAGGCAGCTAATAGTTTGCCATAAACTTACTAGTTTTATGACCTAATAGAGCAAATCCCTTTAGGGATAGGAGTAATGTAGTAGGAATGCTTATTCAAGGTAACTTCCTAGCAATAGTTATCTTAGCTATGATTGACGTATGGGTTTTTTGGTGATGCTATAAAATTGGTCCAATACACAGTTAGATACACTAGACAAGACTTCTGGCACAAAATGCCCTTCTGAAAGCTTGTCTGACATCTCCCAACTATATGTGTTGTTCAAAAAACACCCCCAAAAATCTTTCTTTTTGCATATTCCTGGACTGTCATGGCTACAACAGTGCTCTAACTCTACTAGATATGATATGCATGTCTGTTAGATGAAATTAACATTGAAGGTGTGTATTGTATGGATTCTAGACTGGATTTTTAAATTGACTCTTCCAGCAATACAGTGGTAGCTAAACCTTGGAATTGAATTACCAGCTAGAGGTTGTGGGGTTAGCTATTTTGACTACAGGACATGTATTTCAATGCAAGTCATAAATACTAGTTAAGTTGTGAGTGCTCATTGCATGTGAATTCAGGAAAAAAGTCTAAATTTAAAATAGCCATGATGAATTTACCATTACAAAAAGTGCCCATGTTCAGTTAAAGCGGCAGCGGGCAAAATTACAGTATGGGCTGGTTGGGCCTGTGGCATGATTCTATCTAGTCCTGTGTAGCTCAGACATGGGGGACAGTCTGAGCCATGGTGTGTGTGGCTGGTACTGTGGCTCCCAGGTGTAGAGGTGCTGCCTGCCTGTCCCTGCATGTGGTGCAGGCACGTTGGGAGCTGAAGTACGTAGGGTGGAGTGGGGGTGGCTGGACTTGACTTCCTGGCAGGAAGTCATTGAGATCCTGCATGCCCATGCCTGTTCCATCCAGTACCTCCAGCATTGGGTGCAGGATAGATGGGCCTGGGGCTGGATAGGATAAATTGGCATCTCCCTGCTTTCTCTCCCCGCCCCCCCCCTTTTGCTGAGCAGTGTAAACCACTGTGACAGGGCTGAGGCTGGGTCAGACCCTGCTTTCCCACCCCCTCCTACCCCACCCCCAGCCCTCAAGAGTTCACCAAAACTCCTTAAGTAGCCCTCCAGCCCAAATACTTACCCATCCTTGTGTTAAAGAATCATCTTTCAGGAAAGAGGCAAATTCAAATACACTTGTTACTTGCTAGAAATGTTATGTTAGTAAGCAGTGTCGCTTCAAACCTGGCTAATTTCTGTGGTAGCAAAAACTTTTGGTGGGGTGGAGGTTGTTGGGAAGAACAAAAAATGTGCTAGTGAAACTGCTGGGGTTCATTCTTAACTGCATTTTTCTTTCAGAAATTCCTCTTATCCTTGGCAAAAACTTCAAAGTTTCTTTCCATTATGAAATGAAAGCTTAGCTGATCAGAATGCAATATGTTTAAACATGAATTAGTTTGACACCACTTGGTCAAAGTAAACATTTATATGGTAACAAAACTAGCTTGAAATTTAAATACTACTTTTAGCACAAGTAGATTAACTCTTTTTTTTAATGTTTAAAAGTGAAGCTAATTGCATGCTCTTTAAAAGTCCCCCCCCCCAAAAATGAACCTGTAGCCCCTTAAAATTCTTAATTAACTTGAAGCTAAGGCATGTTTGACAATCCTAAGGAACAGACATTAAACAGCAGCTTAACTGAAGTCTGCTTCTGATATTGGAGTGAGCAGTTCTAGGTGCTACTTGGGGTAGGTGACCTCTTCCTGCTGTAAGTTGGAATGATCCTCCCTGTTAGAGGTGGGGGCCACCAGGAACTGGCCTGCTGTTGGTACCTGTCCCTGCAGAGGCAAGGGCTGTAGAATGCCTACCCCTGCTCTAATGCTTCCTGCAACTTCTGTGGTTTTCAAATGATATTTCATATTTAAATAATCTCATTGCCATGAGTCTCTAGTAAAAGAAGGGGATGTTAGCTGCCTGAAAAATGCACGGTAAACTAAATTAAACAAACTTTCCTTTTCAAATTGAATCAATGACATACTGTAGTCATATCAATTGTAATTGTCCTTTGTAATATTGAGGAAACACTAGATTAATTTGAAAAAATGCAGGTTGGATGAGGAATTGACTCAAATTCACTTTAATATTGCAGGTATTATCCTGTTCTTACAGGAAGTAAGATGGGGAAACGTAAGACCTGGACAAGCTTGTAGTAAGAGGGTGATTGAGGATTAGGAAGTATAGGCTCAAGAATACTCAAACTTCACTATTTCTAGAACAGTTCTTGAAACAAAACTAGTAACTGGCACATTTTCAGCTGCTGAGTATTATGCCAAGGTAAGCTTTTTGAGGTCTGATCTCTGCTTAAAGCTTGTGTCAGTTTTATCTTTCAGCTAAACAAAAACTGCCTGACACAATGATTACATCCAAGCCCTTTTGTGTGCATTTGGTTGCACTGGTGTAACTTATGGCTGTGATTTGAAAAACTGGTGTTATCATGGAAGTGTTAACTATTGCTTAAAGCCAAACCAAAAAAACCCCACAACTTCTAAATGTTGTGGTCAGCAAAACCCTCTTAGTGTATACTATCAGAGTGATGATAAATTTATCAACTTTAAGGTGAAGTCAGCCTCTGTTATTAAGCCTGCAGACTTAAAGATCAGTCATTGACAAGATTTTCCCCCCACCCCCTTAATTTAGTTGATAAACTGTTTGTACCAAGGATCTACAAGAAAAGGAGTTGAATATTTTCTATTTAAAGGCCCCTCCCCACCACAGTGTATACCAAATAACTAACTCTCTGTTCTTACTTAGGTGGATCCACAAAAATATAAGAATATCTTCAATGGATTCTCAGTTACAATTAAAGAAGATGGTGTTCGTGGTTTGGCTAAGGGATGGGCTCCAACCTTTTTTGGCTATTCCATGCAAGGGCTCTGCAAATTTGGTTTCTATGAAGTCTTCAAAGTCCTGTATGGTAACCTTCTAGGAGAGGTAAGTTTTAAGTTCTCTAATGCATAATTGAAACCTGTTTAGTATATAATGTGGTAGTGTAACAATCTTCTAACTGTACAATGGAAATACTAAATTCAGTTTGAGAGCAGAACAGGTCCAAGGAGGTGATACTTCCCCTCTATTGGGCGCTGGTCAGACCGCAGTTGGAATACTGCGTGCAATTTTGGGCGCCACACTTCAAGAGGGATGTGGATAACCTGGAGAGGGTCCAGAGAAGGGCCACTTGTATGGTTAAGGGCTTGCAGGCCAAGGCCTACGAGGAGAGACTAGAGACCCTGGACCTTTTCAGCCTCCGCAAGAGAAGGTTGAGAGGCGCCCTTGTGGCTGCCTATAAGTTCATCACAGGGGCACAGAAGGGAATTGTTGAGGTTTTATTCACCAAGGCGCCCTGGGGGTTACAAGAAATAATGGCCACAAGCTAGCAGAGCGCAGATTTAGACTGGACATTAGGAAGAACTTCTTCACAGTTCGAGTGGCCAAGGTCTGGAAAGGGCTCCCAAGGGAGGTGGTGTTCTCCCCTACCCTGGGGGTCTTCAGGAGGAGGTTAGATAGGCATCTAGCTGGGGTCATTTAAACCCAGCCCTCTTTCCTGCCTATGCACGGGGTACCCCACCCCTCTTCCCTGCCTATGCAGGGGGTCGGACTCGATGATCTATTGAGGTCCCTTCTGACCCTAGCGTCTATGAATCTATGAATTAGTTACATTTCTTGGTTTGATTCCTATTTTAGGAAAATGCTTATTTGTGGCGTACATCGCTATACTTGGCTGCATCTGCTAGTGCAGAGTTTTTTGCTGATATTGCTTTAGCTCCAATGGAAGCTGCTAAAGTTCGTATTCAGACACAGCCTGGATATGCTAACACTCTGAGACAAGCGGCTCCAAAAATGTATGCAGAAGAAGGTGTCTGGGCGTAAGTATTAACTCTTTCCTCCAGACTTTTTAAGATCTTGAACCTTGCCTTGGCCCAAGTAGTGGCTATGGCTTAAGTCAGATCATTAATGCCTTTCATGTCTGTATACAGTGTAACCACAAAATTGAAAGATGACTGAATTTGTGTGAAATCATGGTTTGTACTAAAACTCGGGCTGTGAAAGTACTTTAGGCAACATGCTCCTTAGATCCATCTTTGTGGATATCTCTTGGGCTGAGTTCTGTTTGGTAACTCTCGGTTTCTGGCAGTTCCAGTCAAGTGATATTCAGCAACTTTTTTGGTTGTACAGTCAAAGGTGCTTGAGTCATTGGCATGTGAGAGCAATATACCTGCATGTTAGTCTCCAGTGTTCTGATAGAAGTGACTGTAGTTCTACATGTTGTTTCTCACTATCAGGACTTGGCTGGTATGCAGACACGAATATTCAATGGGCAACTCTAACAAGTGCCACACTCCTGTAATCATTGTTTCTATCTGTACGTAATAAGTTTTATATGTTAATCTTGGAGATGGGCATTTCAAAGCCAATCAAGTGAACAGGTCAGTGTAACTTCTGCCTTGATGTATAGGCAGAAGCCAGAAACACTTAACCTTGTAAGCCAACACCAAAGACTAAGTCTTACTAAACCTAACAGTAGGTTAACTCAAGTATATGACTAGCTGAGATTAGAAAGCTTGAGGAAATTTTAGTTTACTCGTGTGTTTATATGGAATACATTTCTGTTACAAATTTGAAAATGCTATAGCCTAACTTGACCTCTTCAATTTTAAGTTTCTACAAAGGTGTTGTCCCACTATGGATGAGGCAGATTCCATACACAATGATGAAATTTGCCTGCTTTGAACGTACAGTTGAAGCTCTCTACAAGTATGTGGTTCCCAAGCCCCGGAGTGAATGTTCTAAGGCAGAACAGCTGGTGGTCACGTTTATTGCTGGCTATATTGGTAAGGAAGTATCTGAATACTGGTAACTTCAGAAATGTTGGAGCATTTAATTGTGCGGGCCGGGAGCGCCCCGAGCCCTTTTTCGCGCTGCACGCGGGCTGTGGCCAGCAGCCCGGGCACGCGGGGGCGGAGAGGGAAGGCCTTCGCTCTGGAATTAGGCACAGACGCGTATCGGTAGTTTAAAAGATTGTTTACTTACACCGAGATGGCAATGGTGTAGGCTGGAAAGCTTGATTAAGTTGCAGTTACAGACAGACACAACACAGACGGTCTCGTGGAGGTTGCTAGGCTCCACGGTGCAGAGCGCCGGATGCTCTGGGTGAACAGGCCACCAATGTAGAAATTGTAAATACGTCTTATATTAGTTGCGCTCGAAGACGGGAAGAGGTGGGCGGTGGATCAGGCCGCCACGCTCCTCTGGATCTCACACAGGGTTTCTATTACCCTGCCGTGTACCCAGAGTCCCCACGAGATGGATGTGGAGTCCTCTTCGACTTGGGCGGAAACTGCTCAAGCATCTTATACGGCTAACAGGCCAATTGCTAGCCGCCACGTGTGAATAATTTAGCACTAGCCAATCACGGGGAACGAATTTGCATACCGATGGCGGGAACTCTTTTGCACCGTGCATTCCTCTTGCAACTCGAGCAATGCACTCTGCAAAAGAAGCTGCAGAAAAGGCGGGAAACTGGTCCCTGCACCGGAGTTTCCTCTTGCTACAGGAAACTCCCGTGCAATGCTCTGCAACTTAACGTGGATAATTCTGATGCCAAAGCGCACACACACAATCATGCCTTTTGGGTCATGACATCTTGGACAAAACTTGCTCTGTGGGTGACAAGCGGTTTTAGGATGGATTCAACAAAACCTGATATTTCCTCAGTTAGGGTCCCATGGTTGGATATGAT